CAGCCAGAAGGCTGGCGCTCCCCACCCGCAGCTCCCTGTGCGCTGGAAGCCCTCCTTCCGGGGAACCACGAGGCCGGGAGTGAGTCGCCGGTCCGAAGACCGGCGCTCCCCGCCCGAAGCCCAGGGTATTTGTGATAGCAGCAGGAAGGGACTGAGACCGTGCCCTGAGGGTGCACACAGAGCACAAAGTTCCCCACTGCCAGGTCTTTCTGGTGGACCGCTCCTCTGTTACCGTACGCCGAGCCTTGCTTTAGGCTCTTTGCTGTTGTGGCAAGGTGCACGGGCTGAGTCAGCCATGAAGAGCAGAGTGTGTTTATGACATGGGGGCTAGAGGCGCAGGGCCAAGTCACCAGCATCCGTCAGGGGCCCTTCTGCCACTCCTCAAGTGGCAGAAGGCGGAAGGGCAAGCTCGCCGGCCGCTGCAGGAAGCCTGGATCTGGTGCACAAGGCGGGCCCTCATGGCCTGACTGCTGTCACCTTGCAACACCTGAATTTAGCAGGGACACATGCGGGTTGCAGCGATCTTAAAGGTTTTGTTTCTCTCAGAGCCTCCTTCATCAGAGATGAATATTTGAACACTAGCTTGATTTTGATCAGTGTGTTTCCAGTATGTCCCTTTCTATCCCTTCATGATCAATAATTCTCTCTTATTTTGTTGAGGCATGATTGCTGTAAACAACCATAGCTGGAATTTTTGCCTTTAAAACTCCAAACCAAAGCCAAGTGTGGTGGTGCACGCCTGTAATCCCAGCAGTCTGGGGGCTGCAGCAGGAGGATCATAAATTCAACCCAGCCTGGACAACTTAGTGAGACACTGTCTCAAAATAAAACATAAAATAAAAAGATCTGGGGGGGGATAGCTCAGTGCAAAGGTCTTGGGTTGATTCTCCAGCATTAAAAAAATCCAATTGCAGAGTAGTACTCCACAGTGTATAAATAGCATATTTTCTTCATCCATCCATCTGTTGACGGGCATATGTTCTGTTTCCAAGATTTAGCTGTTATAAATTGTGCTGCTATAAACACGGGAATGCATGGATCACTGTGGTACGATGCTTTTAACTTTCAGGAAATACCAAGGAGAGTAGCTAGTTTGAACAGAACCTCTCGTTCTAGTTTTTGAGGATCTCCACACCAATTTCCACAGTGGTTGCACCAGTCTGCACTCCCACCATCAGTGGAGAAGTGTTCCTTTTTCCCACAGCCGCTCCAGCACTTGGTATTGGTTGATGTCTTGATAATGTCCATTCTTTCCTGGTGAGATGGTCTCTCAGCATTGTTTTCATTTGCATCTCTCGAAGGACCAGTGACGCTGAGCATTTTTTCTTACCTTTATTTGCTGTTTGCGCTTCTTTGAGAAGGGTCTGTTCATTTTCTGCCACGGCATCACGGGGAGTGGAGAGGGGAGTCAGGCTCCCGCAGCCTTGGCCCGGCCTGCCCTGGTGCACGGAGGAGCAGGTGAGCTAGGAGATGATGGCACAGTGCCCGTGGCAGCGCAGACCCTGGCTTTCCCAGCCCTGCGGCGGGGCCCGTCTTTTCTCACTGCCCAGCTCTGCGGACGGTGTGTTAGGCGATGTGCTAGGTAAGGCCGTGGCGGACGTGAGCATGAGTCTGTTCCTGCCGTAGCCGTAGCTGAGGCACCGAGACAGCGGGTGCGGAGTGAAGTGCCCAGCCCGTGAGTCACACCGGAGAGACTCGTGAAGCTGCGCAGTGCAGGTGCTGATGCCAGCCGGAGGAGGGCGAGGCAGAGAAATCACACGACCGCCGCTTTCCGGTGCCGCAGTGAGCAGAGTTCACTGCAAACCCGAAGACTGAGTGCATCTCTCCTCCGCAGAATCGAACCTCTGCCTTCCACGCGCACACCCACAGATGCGCCTGGACTGCGGTTTCCTCGCGTTTGTTGGTTCATCGCCGGGTGATCGTCAGAGCTCTTCCTTCGGGTGAGGCGGCGCGCTCGGCTGGAGCGGCAGTGCTCACGCTGTGCAACAGCTTCCTGGCCTGCTGATTCGTCCCGCGGCAGCGCCAGTGTGCGCAGACGGCGCCAGAGCAAGTGCTGGGGGAAGGCCGGACGTCAGGGTAAGGAAGCCAGCTGTCCTGGGGGTCAGAGTACTCGTCACCTCCAAGGGCTGATGGGAGAAGAAGTCTGGTTGGAGGGCATCCTTCACGAGGTGATCAGTATTGCGAATTTTATAGTCTTGTCTCACGAGTACGCCGGATTTTATGTCCTGGTGGCAAGGGAAACGCTCCTAAAGCCCTGCGCACCTGTCGCGCGGCAGTTCGGAGCCAGCGGCTTGTGCGACACCAGCCCAGCGACTCTTGTTGGACTCTGGCAGCCGCCACTGGAGGACAGTGTGTCTGTTTGACAGGAAGTTACTCATGAGCTATTTGCTGAGAACTGTTCATGGGCCAGCTTGTTACAAAACTGGGAATTTGGGGAACTTACATCAAGGCAGACGCGCTGGAGACAGAGACAACAGGTGTGGGGTGGAGTCCTCGGGGCCGAGACAGGGTCCTGGGCCCTGGAAACCAGCGCAGGGAGCCGGCGCTGTGGGGGCTAGGAGCTTCGAGGGAGCAGACAGGCCAGAGCTCAGGAGGGGACACGGACACGGCCTTGCTCTGAGCCGGGGGAGGACATGGGAGACGGGAGATGGACCGGGATGCTGGCCATGCCATGTTTCCAAAAGGAGAGGCAGAGGCTGGGGATTTAGCTCAGCGGCACAGCGCCTGCCTGGCAAGTGCGAGCTCGTGAGTTCGATTCCCGGTACCGGGAAAAAAACCAAAAACAAACAAACCAAAAGAAGAGGCAGGGGCTGGGGCTGGGGTCACCACGCCAGCAGGGCCAGAACACAGAGGAAGTCTCGTCCCGGTCTGTGGTGGGGTCCTGCAGACACGGGGTTTGCAGAGTGCGCCCCACGCCTGAGCGCCGTCGGAGAGACGGAGAGCGTGTCCTAACCGTGCGCACTTTCACGCCGAAGCCTGAGTACACCCCGTCGGTGTCAGGAGGTGGCAAGCCCTTGGGTTGGATGATGACCCACAGACACGCAGACAGACCCTGCAGACCTGCCATTCCCAGCTGGGTGGCCCGGGTGCTGTGGCTGCTGTGCCTTTGTGACACGGCTTTTCCACAATGAGGAGCAACTGCCGCTCGCATTTCAAGCGTAATAGAGCGCAGTGCCCCTTGATTTGAACTGTAAGTGTGTACTTGGAAAATCCAGCCTATATGAAAACCATGCAAAACTGTTTTCTCTTTATAAGTAAAGCTGAGTTGGATTCCAGCTGCAAATAGCTCTAGTGGAGCTATTTTGAAATTCTGAATTTAAAAATTTTTATTAGCCCATGTTTGCGATGCATAACGATCGAATTCATCATGGAGCTGGAGCACACATGTGACGCCTCTCCGTTCTTTTCACATCCTGTCCCCGCCCCGCCTCGTGGTCCCCTTCCTGTCCGCCCGGTACCACTCTCCCCGTGTTTCGGCACCGTGGGTGTCCGGCATGTTTGGGAATCACGCAGTCCACAGAACAACTCTTCACCTGTGGGACTGCATCCTAGTCACAAAACCCGAGCCTAGGCTCCTGCTCACCCAGTGCCGGCAGTGCCTGGCGGTCACCCCACCATCTAAAATAGCCTGCAGAGTCCCAGGATGTCCCTATAGGTTCGTGGATGTAGGGTTTTGTGGTTGACGCGCTGTGTGGTCCCGGGGCACCACGTGTGCTGTTGCTGGTTGAGAAAAGGTGGGTGTCCAAGCTGGGCTTGGTGGCACCAGTCTGGGATCCCAGCTAGTTGGGAGGCTGAGGCAGGAGGATGACAAGCTTAAGCCCAGCCTGGGCTACTTGGTGAGATCCTGTACAGAAATTTAAAGTAAGGGCTGGGGATGCAGCTCAGTGGGAAGCCCTGATTTCACCCCTCAATAGTAAGAAAGAGTGCGAGGGAGATTCTCTAATACACCACCAAAGAAGAGACACAGATGGTACGCCCCTCCAGATTCTAGCGTCCCTTCCTCCCTGCCTTCCTCCTTCCCTTCTGTCCTCCCTCCTCCTCCTTCCCTGCACCCTCTTTCTTTTTTTCTTTTCTTTTTTTTGGTACCAGGAATTGAACTCAGGACGTTGCACTTGCCAGGCAGCACTGTGTCACTGAGCTATATCCCTGGCCTTCTTGTTATTTCTTCTTTTTCAGCCATGGACATCGAACCCAGGTCATCTCCAGACGAAGCCCGCACACCACGGGTCTTCAGTTCAGCTTTAAGAGCTCCCGCGACTTTCTGTGCGTGGAGGCACATCGCAGTTGCTGCTGCTCCTGACCTGAGCTGGATGAAGTTCCGAGTTCACAGCACTGCTGCTCCTCCAGCCCTGGAGGCCCCATACCAGTCTAGCAAATTCGTTCACAGTCGTGTCCGTTTGCGTCCACACAGCATCACGTGCACACATGCTTTAAGTAACGTTCCCTGATTTGAACGAACGCTGTTTCTTCCACCACTTAACAGCATTTAACCACCGTGCTGATTAAATCCCTTTAAACTGCAGAGTGTAATCTCCGATTTATTCCATTGGCTTCTCTCAGTCATGTCACACACCTCATGGGCTGATTCACACAACAGATGAGCAAAGTGTGTGTGTGTGTGTGTGTGTGTGTGTGTGTGTGTGTGTGTGTGTGTCCTGGGGATTAGGCTCAGTGCTTGCGCGTTGAGCTACATCCCAGCCCTTTTTCAGGTTTCACGTTGAGACAGGCTCTTGCTACGTTGTTAGGTTGCCCAGGCTGGCCTTGAACTTGAGACTGTCTTGCCTCAGCCTCTGAGGGTGCTGTAATTACAGGCAAGTGCTGCCCCATGCGGCTCATTTCAGTCTTTGTTAGACTGTCAAACACTCTTTACAAGGTTACACAAGTCTTTGCACACGTTTTAGGGTAAAATGCCAACCATAATAATAAACATTTTAAAATCATACTATGAATATGTTGGACTCTAAACATTTGAAACAGCTTAAATAACGCTGTGTACAGTGTCTGTGGTGAATTCAGAACTTACTTCTAAACATCACAATCCATTGGTTTAGTCTCCTTTGTCGTCCTGACTTTACTCACTTCCCTGCACAGCGGTCTCTTCCCCACCTCAGGGTGCGCTGCTGGCCAGGGGGTCCCAAAGGCTCGGCTGGGCCTGGGCCGCCAGCTCGAGCCAGCACCAGGACGTCCTCGGAGGCCCAGGCAGCACTTCCAGCAGCAGGTGCAGCCCCGCCACCTCCCGAGCCTGCCCTGGGTCCTGGCGTTTACCCCAATTTTCTTACAATAGGAACTCATGGCCTCCGTCAAATTTTAAAATCTTTGCTGAAACTTCTTCCAAGGTTCTCTTACCTGACAGGGCCTCCTCCCTTCTCAGATTTTAATTCTTTCCCTGCCTCACCAGTTGCTCTGTTACTACCCCTCCTGAACCGTTATGATCCACCGCAGCTTGAAACTGGCTCAAATTTATTGACTCATCCGAAGTGTTTGTTGGTTGGTTTGTTTGGCTTTGTTTTGGTTTTCTTGGGCTCTCACCATGTAGCCCAGGCTGGCCTGGAATCGTGGCAATCCTCCTGCCTCAGCCTCTCGAATGCTGGGGTGACAGGCATGCGCTGACACGGCTGGCTCCAGGTGGAGCGTACTGAGTGCCTCCTGGATGCCGGGCACTATCTGAAGGCCTGGAAATAGAAGTGAAAACAAAACCAGACCAAAAATGCTGTTGCTCGGGGAGCCTCCCTTCTGGGGGAACCATTGCCTCATTGTCGCAAGCGGCCTATCTGAGCTGGGAACCAGGTCATCACAGGCCCTGCTGGCTCGGCCCCACACCCGGTGACACCACAGCCCTGGCTGAGGTCCTAGGGCTCACCGGGAGCCAGGACGAGGCGAAGGCTTTGCCCGCGTCCGTCCTGTCTGCCTGACTCTGAAAGGTCAGTCCTCCGGCCCACACTTGCCTACTGTGTCACACTGTTCCCAGAGCCACAGGAAATAAAAGTCTGGGGAAAATTCCTAGGACATCCTCGTGGCCCTCACCAGCCTTGTGGCCCTCGGCAGCCTGAGGGGCAGCAGGTGCCCGGCCTGTGTCTGACACCTCACAGAGCTGCGGGGTCAGGAACTCCACAGAGGGGGAAAGTGAGGCTTGGGCTGACCCCGGTCCTCCCCCACACCCCACAGCCACCATGGTGGGGTCCCTGGCCTGGGTCATGGGGCCCGGGGAAATCAGACCTGCCGTGGGGTAGGGACAGTGCTGACAGCCAGGCTGCAGAGGGTAATGGCCAGTGTGCTGGGAGGCTGAGGCAGGAGGATCACAGGTTCTAGCCCGGCTGGGGCAATTGAGCAACTTAGTGAGACTTTGTTTCAAAACAAAAAGTGAAAAAGGCTTGGGGGCACAGCTCAGTGAAAAGGCCCTGCCCGGTCCCCAGGGCTGCAAACGAAGGAAGAGAGAAAATCCCAGAGTGCAGAAAGAAAAGTGAAAGAAAAGTGTCTCCTGCTCCTTCCGGGAGGGACCTTGGGCTCCTGGTGCCTGAGCGCCCGGCTCGGCAGCTGTCCTATCCCCTGGCACTGCTGGCTGCGTTCCACCGAGACCCGGGAGGGGTCTTTGAGGTGTCTCCAGCTGTTGCTCACCCCCTCCCTGACGACAGACAGCTCCCTGTCCTGCCGCCGCCGCCTCCCTGGTCACGCTGTCACCCGGGCCACTCACCCGAACCGCAGATGCCCGCTTCCGCTGTCCCACGGAACACCTGCCCGGAAGCCGCCCTTCCTCCCCACCCTCACGCTGCCTCTGTCTGAGTCCCCCTCACCAGGGCACCAGCACCTGTGCCCGGACAGCTGCGCCCAGGCCTCTGCCCCCGCGTGGTGTCCAGCCCAGGGCCGTCGGCTTGGTGCGGTGGGGCCTGTCCCCGGCCTGCCCTCTGCACGTCACCTCTGGGGCCCCGGCCCCTCTGCCAGGCTCACTGGTTCAGGACGCTGCGCTGACCCCAGCTCACCGCCCTCCGTCCCCTCCTCGCCTGTGGCCTCCTCCGTCCGGAACACGCCGAGGTCCGTCCCTTTCCTGCTCCCTGCTCGCCTGGGACCCTAGACCCCGCCTGCCGCCCAGCCCTGACCTGGCCACCCCCCTCTGTGGCTCCCTCGGGCCTCCCCCTGCTCCGGCCCCTGCAGCCCCAGGCCCCTCCTGGCCCCCGTGGGTCCTGACGCTGCCTCCTGGGCAGAAGTGTCCCCGCTCCTCGAGTCTGTCTGTGGGCGAGGCCTCCATTTGCTCAGCGCTGTTCTCCCTACGGCAAACTCGGTGCCCGATGGCTGAGGAGGCAGACGTTTCGATGTGTCGATTTGCCCGTTAGACACGTGACTGATCAATTGGAGGTGGTGTGTTTTTAAATCTGTAAACGAGGCTAGTCCAGGCTGGCCTCAAACTTATGATCCTCCTGCCTCAGCCTCCAGAGTGCTGGGATCACACTCGCAGCAACTGAGTGAACTCTGAGGGCCTCGGAAGCTCGGAAGCTGTGTCATGAGTGGTCCCTCAGCTCTCCAAGGTCAGCCCCGCTTCCCTCCTCCCCTCCGCCTCCTGTGGCCACCAAGGTCCCACCCACCAGGCCCAGGCCCACCCTGGGGACGCTGAGGGTAACAAGAAGCGGGCTCTGCCGCCTTCGCTCCCAGCACTGAGCACCCACCGCTGATCTGAGCCCACAGGCTGGTGCTGCGGCTGCCTCAGTTTACCCATCACAGTTGTGTGCGTTTTCTATCTGTTCCCAGCTGCTGCACAGGCCCTGCCTCACTGCCGGGCACCGCTAGTCACCTCTGGTCACCCACAGAGTGAGCCCTTCCTGCCAACCCGGAAGGAGCCAAGGATGGGGTCCCTCACATCACAGGGCCCTAGGCCTTCGGGGTGACCTCAGGTGCGGCCCTGCCCAGTGGGGTCTCAGGAGTCCCCTGCTCCTGCCGGGCTCCCTAGCCTGGGCTGTGGCTCCTCCACCCGGCCCTGCTCACCAGACTGGACACCTGCCTGGCCGCCTCTGCGAAGATGACTGCATCCTTCACGCCCCCTCCTGCCCTCGGAACATTTATCCTAGTCACGGACTTTGGGGCCACAAACTCCAGCTGTGGCCCGGCTCAGCCGAGCAGACCCTGGGTCCCGGTGCAGACACCACTGGCTAAGGACGCCCCGCCTGCCCGGGAGCCTGAGCCCAGGGCTGTGTGGGCACCTCGGGGCCGGGGCCCACGGGCTTGCAAGGAGCAAGACCACCTCCTAGGGCAGCTCTGCTGTCACTGCAGAAAAGACACCGGGCACTCGTGGCTGCAGCTGGGCGTCGTAGGCAGTAAACAGGGCAGAGCCAGGGCTCGGTGACCGACTGTTCTCCATCTCCGAAAATACTGCTCCCTCCCGCTGCCCATGACACGCCTACGCCGACCCCTACGCTCATGGGCTCTGGGTTCATCTACTCTCTAACGTTTACCTGTGACCCAATAAAACCTCAGTGCTGAGGTCACTCACAGACGCCCACAGATGGCAGAAATCAGGCAGCCAGGGCTCTGGGGACCCAGCGTCGCCCACAGAGAGAGCAGCCGCCTCCCCCGGCCTCCCGTCTGTCTCACAGGGAGCCTCGCCCCGGTCCCCGCTGCAGTGAGCCCTCTGCCACCAGCCCTGAGGAGCCAGCAGACACCAACCCTGTTGCTGGGAGCCACACGCCCTCCTCCCTCATAACGACAGCGGTCGCTCGCTGTGAGTAACGGAACAGACTGAGACCTTCCACTGGTTTAAGATTTCACTTTCTCTTACAAAGTCATCCATCTACAATGGATTGGAGATTTATGAAAACAAAAAATAAACGAACATACAGATCATAGCCAGGCATGGTGGCACATGCCTGTAATCCCAGCACTCGGGAGGCTGAAGCAGGAGGATCACTAGGAGTCCAGGGCCAGCCTGAACTGCATTCCAAGAAACTGTGTCAACACAAAACAAAACAAAACTCTTCTCTGTGGAGCTTGAGAAACCCCAGGGTGGGAAGCTACAGAGGGTCGAGGCTGGGAGACCGGCATGAGGCGCTGGGCAAGTGCTCTGGAGAACGGGAGGGAAGGCTGGACGTGGGGGAGAGCGGGGCCAGCAGGGCTGGGAGGCGCGGGAGGTGTGTTGGGGCCTCGGGGTCTCCGCAGGAACCAGGGGAGAGGTGGTGCGGGGCTGCGGCTCACACACCGCGTGTGCGTGTGTGTGCGTGTGCTAGGAGCAGGCAGGATGGCGCGGGACAGGCCCTGGAGGTGCCGGTGTGTGCACCGCCATCGGCTGGACGGCACTGGGGGTTCAGAACTCTCCACCTGGAAAGCCGAGTGTCCATCTGAGCGGGCAGTGAAGCGGCCCCGTCTGCGTGTTAAACGACAGCCTGGCAGGGCAGTTGCACTTGTGAAAGTGGTTAGCACTGACTCTCAGAGAAGAGGGTTCCCCTCAGGCATCAGAACCTGCAGGAGCTTGGGAAAGGGCTTCGCGCTTGGGCGCGCATGTGGGGGGTGGGGGAGCAGGGGCCCCATGTCCCAGCCCCT